ATTACCCTCGTTGTTGAATCAAGCGATCCTCTCTTTCTCTCTCTCTCTCTAAAAAAAAAAAAAAAAAAAAAAAAAAACGGTAGGCACGAAAGGCGAAGTCCTCTACGAGCTTCAGTCCGGTGGCAGTTGGAGTAGTCGAGTCACGCTATATCCGGCTTTGCTGAGCAGTTCTGCAGATGATCAAGCCACAGGCCTGAACGCGTCGTCGGTGCCAGCGCAAGAGGTTGCCGATTCCACTGCACTGGAGGAATACACCATATGTGCAGCTTTCTCTGTTTCTATCTTCACAGAAGGGGGAACCATATTTAGTTATGCCCTCAACAAGCCCTTTAAGAATGTGTTATCTATGGGTGAGTACGACCCGCTAAGTTCTTGTCAGCTTTTTAAAGTAAATTCGGTACTATGCAGGTTATCATTGCGAGTATACTATCTTATATTTTTTATTGCTTGTAATATCAGTGTTTTTAATCAACAGCGGTTACACCAGATGCGTTCTATGTCACCTATGATTACAATATCATAGACATACCTGTCGAGCAAGGGGATGCTCTTCTGAACACATGGCAGCGTGTATGTCTGGTTGGAGTCAGAGGCAAAAACCACACCTTCTACCTGGACGGGCAGCCACTGAGCTCTTGGCTGTGGCCCTTCGAGGAACCAGCTCTTCTCTCAGGAGGCGGTTTGGTCCTGGGACAAGATCAGGACAAGTTTCTGAGAGGATTTGGTGAAGACCGTGCTTTCGTTGGCAGACTCGCCAATGTTAATGCTTGGAGTCGTGCTCTGACGCCGCTCGAGGTACAAGTTCAGAGTACGTGCCAGAAGACTCAGCTGGGAGAAGGAGACTGGGTGGGCTGGACTAAAGCTCCGTGGAAACCGGAAGGCAAGTTTAAAGCTCTCTCCGGGAAATCTTGCCAAAAGAAGGATAAAGATATTTTGTTTTTCAATCACCAGCTCCCTCTTCGTGACGCGCGGACACTTTTGAAAATTATGGGACTGGAACTGTTTCGTCCCAAAAAGCAGAAGGATGCCAACAACCTGGAAAAACTGATGACAGCTTACGGATCGCAGTGTAACTATAAGCATTCTTCAATAAAAGCAGCATGGATAAATGCACGTTACAGTCCAGATTCAAAAAACTGGGTAAATGTGGATACGGGGAAAAAAATTCAATTTAATCTTGATCATCGGAAAAGTGTCCGCGCAGCTACAGAAGGGGCAGTTCAGGTGGGCAATGAAAGATGGATCATGGAGGACGCGGTAAACGAGAACTGTTTTGCAGCACTGAAGCCGAAACCTGCGTCAGTATTTTGGCTACGAGGTTTTCAGAAAAAAGGTTTCTCTGGCTACAGTAGGGCCTTTGTCATGATAAACGACAACGGTATATCCTTTAGAGGAATGAAAGGCCATTTGATTCAGTATCAAAGTGATAAATGGCAACTAAGTAAAAACAATAGAGTCCTAGCAAGATTACAGGGCCCACATTTCCCCATCGGTCGCCACATCTGGCGTCAACCAGATTCAAACACAACCATGACGCTGAGCAGGTGTACCTCAAACGACTTCACGTGTGATGATGGGTCATGCGTTAGTATAATGAATAGATGTGATCTGGTACCAAACTGCAAAGACCGAAGCGACGAGCAGAGATGCGAACTGGTGCACCTTCCCCCGAACCACATCAACTCTCTCCTCCCATCACGAAAGCTCAGCATGGAAGTCAGAATCCTCCTGGATATAATCAAAGTAGACCTCCTGGACATGAGCCTGTTACTGGATATGTCTATGAATATGAGGTGGTATGACCCAAGCGTAAAGTACAGGAACCTACGGGAGAGAAAAAACGCAAATCAGATTTACCCCTTACAAGATAATTTCCCGGTTTGGACTCCTATCACCAGTATAGAGCCGGTGACGGGCTTCCCAGTCCAGAAAAGGTTGCTTTTTGTAATGAGAGAAAGCAACAGTACAATTAGACAGGGGGGTGAGTATTCAGTCCAGAGACAAGCATATATTATTGTTCAGAACACGGAATTTCTTTCAAATAAATAGTTGAGTATTTAGAGGATAATAGGGTGGATCTTACGAATCATTTTGAAATACTATTGGTTCATCGTCCATAATGAACATAACATTATGTGAATTATATGAACATACCTTCATATATCCTCAATAGCTATTCTAGCCGTACTATATAACTGCAGCTCCTAATAAAATTCAGAATGAAACAATAAGTTTAGTGTCCAATAAAGATGGCATCTTATAAACACAAATACACACACACACACACACACACACACATACACACACACACACACACATACACACACACACACACACACACACACACACTCACACACGCACACACACACACACACATCTATATACACTCAAAATGGGGAGGGATGTTGCTGTTTTAGAATGAAAATTTATATCATTAACAACAATAATACTGTATTTACTTTTCAGATGCACTGTATAACGGCAATAAAAACCCACTGTC